TACATGTGAGGCCGAATTATATTTAAGAAACAAAGCCATTCTAATATCTATAATCAAGAATGAAGACAAATATAAAAGATCATATTCCAAACCATCATAAGCAAACTTCACATCAATTTCCCTAAACATACCAATTAATGATTTTCCTAAAGAACAACTACAAAAAAGTGCATGTTGTGGATTGTTTGGATTTAACCAACTAGGTCTAACTTAGTTAGGCCACCATGATTTTTTTAAGGGTTTAGTCTCAAGAGGAAAGTCATGGGTTCAACTCTCCCTAAAAGAGAGTTGAATTAGAAGGCAATCACTTGGTGTTTTGTAAGGGTAGGAAGGCTAACTCTTCTAGGTATTAATCTAATAACGAAGAATTGATTTTTGTCAATAAAAAAAAAATGCCACACTTTGTGCCTATTTATTGTGATTTCATTTTCTAAAGATGAATAAATTTATTTATTTTTTTAATTTTGATTTGGAGAAATTTTTTAAAAAATAACCAGTATATTTGAAGACATCAAAATATGATTTTTGAATTTGTAAAAATTATTTTTACGGAAAACATAAACTACATGAATGCCATTTTGCAATGTTTACGGTTTATTATTTTTGAATTACTGAAAATATTAAATATATTTATATTTATTTTTAGTATAAAAAAATTTAAAAATATATTTGGTACACATATTTATTAAAGATTTTTCCAAAGAACAATTAGAAGAAGTAAATGCTCTGAATTGTTTGGGTCTAGCTAACTTTACTGTTATAATGGTTCCAGTTTAGACCCGACCCATTTCATGCTCTTAGATCTGGGATTCTGGGTCTTTAATTGTTATTCATGCCCTTTATCATCTTATCGGTAGTTGAGTTTAGTTGTTGGTTGTGTTTGAAATAGGTTGAGAGTTAGTTTTTTTTAAAAGAGTTGTTGTCCAGTTTGCTTCTTGTTTGCTCAAGCAGTATTTTGGTCACTCGAGCGGTCTTTGAGATCTCCTAGTGTTTTTGCAGGTCTACAAAACTTTTGGGAGTAAGGGATCTTCTCTCGAGCGGTCCTTCTTGTGCTCGAGCAATCTTTTATAGTCTGCAAAACTTCTGGAAGGGCGTCATTGTGCGCTCGAGCGATGTTTTGGTCGCTTGAGGGATGTCACTTTTTGTGTCTGATGCTCAAGCTGCGGTTTGGTCGCTTGAGTGGTCTATGCGTATATCAAATTGGAAAAATGAGGTTTTTGGTCACTTTTTCGTTCCCCCCCTCTCTCTAAAATATTTCAAACTCTAATTTATTCTTCTTCGCTCTCTAGTTCTTGCTTAAAACCTTAAATACATCCCAACCCATTGATATCTCAGACTGACGGGCAGTCTGAACGCACCATTCAGATTATATAGGACATGCTTCAAGCTTACGTTCTCGATTTTAAGGGGTCGTGGGAGAGACACTGGCCCTTGATGGAATTTGCCTACAATAATAGTTTTCAGGCGAGCATTGGTATGGCACCTTTTGAGGCCTTGTATGGCCGACCATGTAGATCTCCTATGTGTTGGGCAGAGGTGGGTGATGCACCTATGTTAGGTCCAAAGTTAGTCCGGGAAACAACAAAGAAGATTGCATTTATTTGTAAAAGGTTGGTTTCAGCTTAGAGTCGCCATAAGACCTATGCCGACCATAGGAGGAGAATGCCTTTATCTTTTGAGGTAGGGAATCACTTGTTTCTGAAAATATCACTGAGATGGGGTTTGATGAGATTCGGAGAGAAAGGAAAGTTGTCTCCTAGATTTATTGGGCCTTTTAAGATTCTAGAGCGAATTGGGGAAGTAACTTATTGTTTGGCCTTGCCGCCTCAACTTTTCAGAATTCATGATGTGTTTCATATTTGTATGCTTCGAAAATACGAGCCTGATCCTTCACACATGTTGGATTGGACTGAGTTAGACGTAGATGAGGATGCCTCGTATGAAGAGAGACTCGTTCATGTATTGGATACCTGGGATCAAGTCTTAAGGGGCATGACTATTCCATTGGTTAAGGTGTTGTGGTGACACCATGGGGTTGATGAGGCGACGTAGGAGCGTGAGGTGAAAGTCAGTGAGAAGTATCTAGACCTATTTGTTGATATTTGAGACTTGTATTGAAAATTTTATCCATGTTGTAAAATGTAAACATTATAAATGTTTTGGAAATTTGAATTGTACTATTTTGTGTGGGAAGACTCTGTCTTATCATTATTACTAATGTGGATGGTTAATGAAATTAAAATATGTTGGTTATTGGTTTGATTTAAATTTTGGGGACAAAATTTCTAACGGGATGAGATTAAAACAATTCTAGTTTAGACCCGACCTATTCATACGCTTGGATCCAGGATTACGTGTCTTTAATTGTTATTCATACCCTTTATCATGTTGTCGGTAGCTAAGTTGAGTTATTGGTTGTGTTTGAAACAGATTGGGAGTTAGTTTTTTTCAAAAGAGTTGCTGTCCAGTTTTCTTCTTATTCGCTTGAGCGGTGTTTTGGTTGCTCGAGCGGTCTTTGAGATCTCCCAGTGTTTTGCAAGTCTGCAAAAATTCTAGGAGTAGGGTATCTTCTCTCAAGCTGTCCTTCCTGCACTCGAGCGATCTTCTACAGTCTGCAAAACTTCTAGAAGGGTGTCATTATGTGCTCAAGCAGTGTTTTGGTTACTCGAGCGGTGTCACTTATTGTGTCTAATGCTCGAGCCATGGTTTGGTCATTCGAGCGGTTTGTGCATATATCAAATCAGGAAAAGGGGATTTTTAGTTACTTTTTCATTCCTCTCTCTCTCTCTAAAATATTCTAAACCCTAATTTCTTTTCATTCCCTCTCTAATTCTTGATTAAAACCTCAAATACATCCCCAACCCATTGATTTCTCCACTATAGCTCTTTGGAGAAAAAGGTTGAGCTTGTCAAAAGCTTCATTCTAAGTGGAGAGGATCTTGTGTTTGGCTCCATCAAATTTTTACCCTTACTCTCTTCCTCTTCTACTCTTGAGGTAGGGCTTTCCTCAACCTTTAGTATGATTCTTAGCTTAGTTATTTGCTCTTTGAAAAGGTTTAGGGATTTGGGGGTTTTAGATTAAATCTAGGGTTTGGTTTTGAAATATAAAAAAGAGGTTTTTCAAATAATTTTTTGCGAAGGGTTGTGAAAGTGTGTATATTATTGGATTGTGTTATAAACTTCTTCCTTAAATGTGGTTTTGAAAACAAAGGAAGTGTCACGACCTAAACCCGCTCCTATAGGTTTAGCATCATAACCGGCCAGTAATCCTAAAATTACCAAAGGCCTCTTAAATAGATACATAATATTAGGGGCTAGTAGAAGCAAAATACAAACATATATCATCCATTGAGCTGTGCAGGCTTACATGAGACAAAAAATATTTAAACTTCTTATATATATATATATATTATCACATTAGTCCTACATCATCACATATATAGAGGAGACAGAATGGATTCATGTCACGACCCAAACCCGTCCCTAACGGGTTTAGCACCGTAACCGGCCAGTAATCCGAGATTACCGAAGGCTTGCTTAACAGTAATAACAATAATACAAAGTACAGGGGCTGGCGGAAGCCAAAACAGTAATAAAAGATGTTCAATGAGCTGTGACAGTCTGTATGTAAAAAGACTTTTCATATCATATATATATATTCAGAACAAAACAGTACATACATACAACATATACAGATATTCAGGTTAGGGACCGAATCCCTACCATAACAGTACAGTACGATATCATTCAGTCTATATAGTAATTACAAAACAGATACAAAAAGAGGGAAACTAAAACACCCTAAAATCCCTAGCTTGAAGGACTTGGAACCTCTCAGTGAGGCACAGTGGTTGGCTCGACAAAACTGGAGTTTACCCTGACGCTTCAAGCAACGGTCCGGTGCCTGTACACCTACATATATATATATGAGCAGTGAGCTAAAGCCCAGTGAATAACATATGCGTAAAGAGGTTAAGAATGAATGTCCTTTCAGTATTGAAAACAGTCATTTATCAGTATATCAGTCATTCAGTTTGTGGCTCATAATTTGTGCCATAACAGTCATTCATAAACTATAATAGTCATATGTGGTACATCCAATAGCAAAACAGGACAGTAGGTCTTATCAGACCGAACAGTCAGTTGATGGCCATCATATTAGTAAACAGTAGTGGTTCCAACATGGGAACCGACAGAGATCTCTGTGACAGTAGCAGTACAGTACAGTAACAATAGGTTGCTATGGATGCCACGAATACAGTTCACAAATAGGACATCATTCATTCAGTAATAGTATCATTTCAGAAAACAGTACAGTTCAATTGTTGATCTATGAAAATTGTATGGTACAATGATCCATGTGGCATCCCATTACCAAAAGAAGCCAGGTGAATTAGGGCGAACCTTGAAGTTTGAGTATTGTTTCTTCCATTTGAAATTAAAATACTCAAGTTGTTTACAGCCTTTGATGGAAAGCAGAAGTTGAAGGGTTATGAATATGCGGGAGCAGTATTCATTGATGTGGTTGTTTCATGTTTTTACATGATTTTGGTCCATCACGTTATTGGTATTTATGATAACATGTCATGCATGGTCCAATGCTCCCTTGAACAGTGTTGTCTTTGTTAACTTGAATGCACACCAAAAACATACACTCTGCATACATAAGGTGCGTAGAAACCAAATATCTTAAGATGTCATATTGTTTTTATTATGCAAATCTATGTAGTATGATATCATTTGAAAGCATCTACTCTGTGGACTTGATTGATCCCATGGTTCTTGTACACAAGTAAACAAACTTAATTGAAATTTGAATCTAATATGGAGCCCTTTTGATGCAAATCTACTTTGGAGTCTGTGCCACCATCTACACGCCGTCAAATGATTCTACTTTAAGTACTTATATGCAAATTTGCTTTTGAGTACTTGCTGCAATCTACGATCCCTTGATCATGAATTTCACTAGGAGTCAATAGGATTTAACCATAGATGTTAAGATGACACTTGTGGATGATGTTCTTTATTGGATCTCAGGCATGAGATATGAAGTTATATTAGGAAATTTGATTTCTCCAATGGACAAAGAAGGTAGAAAACTTTTGGGTTTGCATGTTGTCACATGATTATCAAGTTTATTCCTAGAGAGGACTTCTTCTTCCCTCATTTCCGGGGTTCCATAATGTATAAGATGAATGGTAGGAGTTGGTGGTTATGCTACTGTTCAAAAGATCGAAATGAAAATTGAACAGCAGGAAGTGGCATATTGATATTTTCATCCAAAAAGGTTGCTAGATTGGTTGAATGGAATACTGAATTTCACTTGGAAATAATAAGATTACAAAATTCATTAGATAAGGCTGTGATGATGATGATGATTCATTATGTGGTTGGGAAAGTTTAAAATTGTTCCATATGATATCTAGAATCACAAAAAAGTAGGTGTTGATTCTATTCTGTACTGAGTCATTGTTTTGTTAAATATATTTCAGATGTAAGCACTTCTAAAATCCAAGTTATTACAGTTAATACTGTTTTATGGTGGATTGCTGCTCTTTGTGCCGCAAAAATATTTTTTCATAAAATTTCTCTTTGGGTTCTAAGTATTAACAACTGTTTTCCAACTCCAGTTGGAGAAGGAAGCTCTTGTGAAAGGAGTTCCAATAAGACAAGCTATTGACATAGAGATTCCTCCTCCGCGCCCTAAAAGGAAACCAAGCAATCCTTATCCTCGAAAGACTGGTGTGGCAATACCTAGTCTGCAGGTGGGAGCAAAGGATGGGAATAATTCATCATCAGTTTCTTCTTCCTGCACTGCCACTGGTAAACAAATACTGGACTTGGAAAGAGAACCACTACCTGAGGTATATATGTCCCCTGCATCATTGCTCTTCTATTTGTTTGGCGATTTATGGCACATTTTCTTGTTTACTTCTGCATGCATGTTTTTATTTTGTTCCTTCGTATTTTTAAATTTCTGAAATTCTTTGGCCTATTTATTGTTGTTAGAAACCTGATGGAGATGAAAAGCAAGAAAATGTCAAAGAAAACCAGGATGAGGGAAATTTCTCTGAAGTTTTAACCCTTTTCCAAGAAGCTCCGTGTACGTCCTTGTCTTCAGTGGACAAAGATTCCATTCGAACACTGGCGGCACCCAGAAATTCTTGCACTTTTAGGGAGTTTGTGCCTATGATGGTAAGTACCCAGGATGAAACAAATGAATCTTATGTCACTGTTGAACCCAGAGGAATTCAGAAGTTGGTTAAATTTGATGCAAAACAAACGGTTCAGGATAATGGAACAAATTACACCTCGAACTTGGAGAGTTCTATCCCTTCACATGAGAAATTGGTTCAAGGAAAGAAAACAGATGAAATGTGCCACCCTGAAAATTTTGGGGCATTGCCGTCAAGTGATATGCAAGCCACACATAACTACCCAAGACATGTTCCTGTGCATGTTCTAAATGGGAGCCTAGGAATGAACACTGAAAATGTTTCTTCAGATATGTCTTGCCAAGAATCCATATTTCACCAAATAGGAGGAATTCATGGATGCCCTAACCCATTCTCGCTTTTTGACAAATTGGGCATACCTTTTGAGGGTGCGACTTTTTAAGGGTCCGACAAGACTCTGTAAACTGTCTCGACATTGATTCCGGTTAGTTTCTATAAGGGTCTGACAAGACTCTGTAAACTGTCTCGACATTGATTCCGGTTAGTTTCTATAAGGGTCTGACAAGACTCTGTAAACTGTCTCGACATTGATTCCGGTTAGTTTCTATAAGGGTCTGACAAGACTCTGTAAACTGTCTCGACATTGATTCCGGTTAGTTTCTATAAGGGTCTGACAAGACTCTGTAAACTGTCTCGACATTGATTCCGGTTAGTTTCTATAAGGGTCTGACAAGACTCTGTAAACTGTCTCGACATTGATTCCGGTTAGTTTCTATAAGGGTCTGACAAGACTCTGTAAACTGTCTCGACATTGATTCCGGTTAGTTTCTATAAGGGTCTGACAAGACTCTGTAAACTGTCTCGACATTGATTCCGGTTAGTTTCTATAAGGGTCTGACAAGACTCTGTAAACTGTCTCGACATTGATTCCGGTTAGTTTCTATAAGGGTCTGACAAGACTCTGTAAACTGTCTCGACATTGATTCCGGTTAGTTTCTATAAGGGTCTGACAAGACTCTGTAAACTGTCTCGACATTGATTCCGGTTAGTTTCTATAAGGGTCTGACAAGACTCTGTAAACTGTCTCGACATTGATTCCGGTTAGTTTCTATAAGGGTCTGACAAGACTCTGTAAACTGTCTCGACATTGATTCCGGTTAGTTTCTATAAGGGTCTGACAAGACTCTGTAAACTGTCTCGACATTGATTCCGGTTAGTTTCTACAAGGGTCCAGCAAAACTCCGTAAACTGTCACAACAACTGTCACAGCACTGTCTTTTACAACGGTCCGACATGACCCCGTAAACTGTCTTCTACATCGGTCCGACATGACCCCATAAACTGTCTTCTACATCGGTCCGACATGACCCCATAAACTGTCTTCTACATCGGTCCGACATGACCCCATAAACTGTCTTCTACATCGGTCCGACATGACCCCATAAACTGTCTTCTACATCGGTCCGACATGACCCCATAAACTGTCTTCTACATCGGTCCGACATGACCCCATAAACTGTCTTCTACATCGGTCCGACATGACCCCATAAACTGTTTTCTACAACGGTCCGCCATAACCATACAGTCTTCTACAACGGTCTGACACGACCATACAGTGTCTCCTATCCTTTTTTATTTTTATGTATTTTTCTTGTTTTGTTACTCTCTCCAAACTCAAGTTGGTTAGTTTCTATCCTCCTTGAGTTTGCGGGGGACTGTTAACATTTACCATCACCTACCACCAAATTACCATCACCTACCACCACCTACTCCTCACCTACTCCTCACCTACTACACTCACCCTCTCCTATATAATGAGCCACTCACCATTTGTAATATACACAACATTAGAACATACAACAATCAATAATACAATCATTTATCTTTATACATTAAATTTCTACAATTTGACATTTGACCAATTGGATCGACTAATCCAAGGGATCAACTAAAATTTTCACAATGAATCTCAAATAAGTCGCCTTTATCTGAAAGTCTCTAATAATATTCCTTCAAATTGAGAAGCATTGTTTGGTTGGGAACTTGGGAAAGTGTGGAGGGAGGGAGGGAGGTTACAGAAGAACAGAACAACATACAGCAGATCCAGTTGCCTGTGTTTGAATCTTAAACTTTGAAAAAAAAATCACTAAAGAAAGGTGATTTGAATTCAAATATATATAAAAAAAATCACTACAGAAAAAAACCACTACAAAATGATCAAGAAAATTCACAATGGTCAACAATTCTTGTGCATCACTTTGAATTCAAATATATAAAATAGATTAAACAAAATGGATCCAAATCAGATATTTGAGATAGTTCTAATCAAATTACAAGTAAAGGCTCAGGGTAATTATTGAAGAAAGGTGGAGAACTGTTTAGTATCATCCTTTAAAGACAGTTTTATGTCTGGAAAAGGGAAAAGTGAGAATGATGCAGAAAACATGCTTGGGGTGGCAGTTAAGAAAACAGTGTTCACAAAAATTTTCTGAAAAAGGTCAACTGTCAAAAGAACTTTTCAAAACAATTTCTATGCACCAATGAAAATTGTGATCAATGAACACACCAAAAAAAAAAATGCATGAGTGCCTAATATATATGTATACATATATAGACACATATATGCACATGCAAAAGCAAATGTACACACAATATATATTTATATATATATATTATTAATCAATTTTGAAAGAACATAACAATGATGAAGCAAACTGAAATTAACAGGAAGAACAATCAATAAATCAAAAATCCTCCGTACAAACAACAAAGATGATCAAGATTTACTTTTTACATTACTACTATAGATTCAAAGCAACGAGGAAGATCAGGATTCACTTTTTCATTACTACTAAACCAAGTGATTTTTAGATGTACGACTATATATATGATCATCTATATATTTCATGGATACCCATACACCTCCATGCCCCATGAGAAGACAAAAACAGGATGAACAATATGCTGAAATATGGTTTAATGCATCAAAAAGGCAGAAATATGACAATTACATGGATGGTTACGGCACCCTATCTTAGATATTGAAGGAAAAACATAGTAGACCAAGCACTGAAAAAATACTCTTGTACTCTGGCTCTCTCCACTACAAAATTATAAGGCATGCTTTAATCTTCATCTCTTTGTTCCATCAGCTTCATGCAAACCATTAGTTCAGATAAGCAGTTAAAAGGGACATGTTTCTTACTAGTCAATTTTCACCATAAAATAGAGGAAATTTAGGTGTTTATGCAAACCTTTCAGCAAAGTAATTTTTGTTGAACATGACTGTATCTCAATTTTCAAGAAAAACATTTTTTATTTGCATTTTCAAATTTTATCATGCCCTAAATATTAATTGCTAATTTTAAATCTAGAAGAATTAGCTAGGCACACATATCCAAAAGTAGTCGCCAATCAAAAAAATAAAACAAATTTGAACTAGAGCAATGTTTAGGGGACCAGACCGGACCGGCCGGTTGAACCAATGACCGGGCATAGTTTCGGTTCAGGCAACCTTTTAAAACCGGACTATGGTCAAAACCGGCCTTAAAAGAGAAAACTGTTAGAATTGGTGGTTCAACCAAAATAACCGGTGAACCGGTACCAGGTTGTTCTGACCAGCATGGTTTGCTCAAAGTATAATAATCCCAAAAAAATCCTAAATTTCTAGGGCACACAGAACAGAACTTACGGGGTCCTCCCTCTCTCTCTCTCTCTCTCTCTCTTCGGTTTGTCGCGGTGAACAACGAACGACGAGCGATTCTTCCAGCAAACAGAGAACAGCGAAGGATTCCGGTGAGGATTCTGGCGAGGGCCTCCTTTTGTGTGCAGATCTAGCCAACCTTCGCTTTGCCTCAAGGTGTGTGTCTTCATCCTTTTCAATTGGGTTCTCTTTATTTTATCCTAGTGTTCTCTCTTTAATTGATTTGTTGAAACCTCACTCACTGAATCACATTTTCTTTGGAATTCTAAACATCTACTGTTTTATATATATATATATACATGGTGATATCTTGATATGTACAGCAAGATGTAATTTATTGCGTTATTTTTTGTTTTTCTTTTTAGTTTCAAGATTGTGTTCTTTGGACTTCTAAAATAAGATGTCACATTATTATTGCAAATTACAATTTTATATATTGTGAATTTGTGAGTGATATTTGAAAATTCTATTATTTTGTTATTTATTTATTTCCATTTTCATACATATTTTTAATATATTTATGATGTCATGGTTCAATTCCGGTAGACCCGACGGTTGAACCACTAACCTGTGACCCGGTCCCTTTCCCGGTTCGATGAACAGCCCGGTTTTCAAAACATTGAACTAGAGCACCCTTTGGTAAACCTTTCCAGAATGTGTTGTAAATGTATTACCACCAGATTTTTAGCTAACAAAGCATTAACACACTCCAGACTAATTAACCATCAAATATGTAAAGAAAATAGCTCAACCCATCAATAAATTTCAACCTAATTGGTGATATTTTACACCCATATGAAGAATCTAATAAATTAACCAATTAGATGCTGTTTGTCCAACGTCAGTTCATAAGCATGGAAACACTACATTGCTGTTGTAAGGAGGCATTGTTAAACTCATGCTACTTCATTCTGCATTTCTCCTTCAGCCACCTTATTGGTGCCTCTTGTTTCTATTCATTATAAAATTCATAACCAAAAGGGTACCCACCTCAATGCCCTAAAGTCAGGACAGGGACAGGAGACAGGAGAAAGCTGACTGATTGGGCCATTGTCATCCCCAATTTTCATAGAAATTTTGTGCTCACCTTGCCCTTTATTGAACCAAGTATGCAAGCAAAAAACATACCTAAGATCTACCAGTTCAGCTAATAGAACCCAATTTTCATCATACTTGATCCATTCATTTCAAAATTGATATTGCAGATTTAAAAAAAAAAATAAAATCAATTCAAGTCAAATAATGTAACCAAAATCAAATTACAGGAAAAACCTAACAATTGTTTGTTGATACATCTGAACCAAACCCAAAAACCAAAGGAAATCATGTTTAACAGAGGTAAAGAAAAAAAATATAGATCCGAAAGAAAACCAACCATAGAAATCAATTATATCTCAACAACATATAGATATGTAACAAAAAAATTTAAAAATCACAACAGTAAGAGAGAGAAGAAGAAGAAGAAGAAGAAGAAGAAGAAGAAGCACATACCGGTGGGAGGAGAGGCGTGGTGAATCGAAGAGATCGAAGAAGCTCGCCTTCTTCCGAAAATGTTTACCGGTTTTGGAAAAAGGAAAACCGGAAAACGTTTTATGCCATCTTAAATTGATTTTTCTTTGACTAGGAAACCTGTTTTATTTGACTTTTTCTATTCGTTTTTCTTTGACTAAAGAAACCTTTTTCATTTGACTTTATCTTTTCAGCAATGTTATGTGAAATGACAAAATCTATGATAGGTC